TTGCCCTTTGCCGCTCACTCCCACCCCCTCTTAGAATTTTGAAAATAAAAAAGCTTGAACCTTAGCTTAAGGACGTGATAATTTGAGCTAAATTTGAAAATACCACATAATAAAGGGAAAATTAGCAAATTAACTCATAAATTATAAATTCATGAACGTTTGAAATCCAAAACTTATTTTTTGATATAATATTTATCTTTAATTTTTGAAAATAGTATAATCTAGTGCCTACCGTTTATAAAAGTGAACCTTAACAATCAATTGATTAGAAAATAATAAAATATGACCTCAAAAATTATAAAAATAAACCAAATAAAATTTCTTCATACTTTTCTGTAATTTTTTAATTCTTTATTTGTAATTTTTGGGCTCTTTTAATGTAAATTTTTGTCCTTTTTTATAATTTTTGATATCTTTTTCTATTATTTTTTTGTTAACTAATTGTTAAAATTAATTTTTTTAATGATAGAAATTAGATTGTCTTATTTTTAAAAATTGAAAGAAAATATTACATAAAAAAATTAACATCAAAGATACTCATGGCCTTGTAATTTTTGAGCCAAATTGCTCTTTTACCAAATAATAAATTAAGTTCATTAAAACAATAGTTATTAGGTTCAGCTTGACCATTTTTAACCTGATGCAAGTCCTCAAAACATTTAAGAAAAAAACCTTGAAGAAGATGACATTTTTATTATTCACAATGTTTTTTAATTAAATTTCTGAGTGCTTTACTTTTGAAAAAAGGCACGTGATAGTAAAAAGAGACATTTGAAAAGAATTTCACCCTCCGTTTTTTAGTGAAAAATTTGAAAAAAATAATAATAAAATTCTTTTAAATATATAAATAATAATTTAATCTCTCAAAATGTCATAATTCCTCTAAAGTTTCAAGAGACTTTTCTGTCGTTAATGAATTTATATAAATTATCAAATTGCCCTATTAAGAATAAATGATTCACAAGTGTTATTAAATATTTATAACTTTTTTTCTTATATTCAAAATAATGCAACAGCAAATAAATAATTTAAATACAAAATCATATTTGCTATTACATTGTTGCAAATATAAGAAGAAAAGTATGAATATTTAAATAAAATTTGTGAATCATTTATTCTCAATAAAGGAAACTTGATATTTATATATATACATTAATACAGAAAAAGTCCTTAAAACTTCAAAGAAATTATGACATTTTCAAATGATCAAATTGTTATTTATATATTTTAAAGAGATTTTATTATCATTTTTTCAAAATTGGATACTTTTATTTGAAAAGAATTTCACCCTTCGGTTTTTATTTCTAGGAATTTGTTGAAATTTTTTATGTTTTAATATAAATTGCAACTGTATTTTTTTTTTTTTTAAAAAGGCACGTGATGACTGATGACCCATAAATAATCTTGCTCCTTAGTGACTTGATCACATGAATTTATCTTTTGTTTTTTCCAGCAAGCAGGGACCGTTTGAATAGCAACCACGTGGCCACTACTTCTATTCCTCCTCAGGAAGGCAAATCCCTGGTGTCGTGTTCTCCAACGTCAACATCTTCATTTTCTCTCATGAAGCCTTTTCCCCAACTTCATCTTCGCTCCTGTGATTACAATTCTACTCGCCTTCCTTCAAATTCGAAGTTCAACCGCCAGTGTCTCGCCCTTCCACCTTCACCCTGTCATTTTCATGGCTTCAGTCATCTGTTCCATAGTATATTGCTTCAGTTTTGCGCTAAGTTCGTGTTTCCCGGTTTTGCTTCTCTGTTTGAAGTGGTTATGTCAATCTCTGGCTTTTTGGTTGTTGCCTCTTTGACACCTTTGGTTCTGCAGCTTCCATGGTGGTCCATTTTCTTTATCCTCTTTTTCTTGTAGGGTTCTTTAAGCTACTGAAGAAACTTCATGGCATTTATGGCAATTTACACCATCCACGCCCAAGAGCAGTACAGTTGCCACTCCTGCCCATATTCAATCATTAGAGGATGGAGATTGATTCAGAAAAATATTTCTTACTTTAATTTAGGATATTTTCATTGTGCCTTCTTATCTTTCTATTTCAAGTGTGATTTTCTAGTGAGAAGTTATGAGGAGCCAATAAATTGTGTCCTCAAGTATGCTAATGGCCTTTTTTTAGCAAGTGTAGAATTGGGCTCATTTTTACATAATACAAGAACCTTAGAATGGAGTAGTGCCTTGGTTGAATTCAAAAGGGTCGCTAACTCTGATAATGAAGGTGCTCCAAAAAAGCTTTTAGTGTTCTGTCTAACGTTGTGTGTATGATTATATGTGTTTTTTTTTTTTTTTGGAGGGAGTGGTGGATTCCCCTTGATGTATTTATCAATGCTGCAATTTGGGAACTAAAGCTCATCATCTTCTTCCAACAAATATTAATATTTTTTGGTTTTATAATTAAACCAAATTTCTGCAACTATCAATACTAAAACATGGTCTAATAAAATGGGAAATTTCATGCTGATTGACCACTCATTTATCTATCATGAAACCCATTTATCTCCATAGATCAGCAACCTCTAAAGGGACTTGGACAATTATAGAATAATCACATATATTAAGTTGAACCACCTACTTCAAAGAAGAGGGTGTCATATAATCTATTTCAATTTCAGTGGAGGCTCTATCATTTCTTTATTTATATTTATCATTCCCATAATATCTATCCAAGTGTCCTTTAGATCTGAACATTTCTCTACTGCTGAGGATAACCTTTTTCTTTCTAACCTGAACTGCAAGTTATAATTAACTTCAGTTGATTTTGATTGCAAAAAGTATATTTTTAACTGTTTAGTTGACTAGATAACAGTTAAGAGTTTGTCAAAAGCTCCATAGATGTTTTTAGATTATGCGTCTATACTAGCATCTGAGATATTACTAACTGAAATTTTGGATTTGAACACACAAGGGGCATACGAAGCGCACACAGTTTAATAATGGAGTTATATCTGTGTTTAACATTCATACTGGATAGGACATACATTTCCAATTATAGATACTTTATTTTCACACCCTGTTTCCCTGAGCGTTTGTTCCTCTTAGTATGTTACTAGTATGTTGCCCACCAATAATCTCCAGCCATTGACGGATTTGAGTTTTGTGATGTCTTGTGTTCGAAGAATCCAAGTTCCTCGATTTATTAGTTTCTGAATATTTTTCACATGTACCTAAGACTAATCTAGCTTTTGCTATTTGACAATGTGAAGTTAGATTATTTTTCTAATGGGCAGATAGATTTTCTTGGGCTTAAGATAAGTATGCCTTAATGGCAGTCGTAGTTTGATATTTCCTCAAATTTGCATGCAAATCTGAATTTCCTGTTTCTGTTTAGTAAACTAGCTCACATATTTGTATTCAATGCATTTTTTTCTTTAATAAGTTTCTAAATTTTTTTCATATTAAGACTAATCTAGCTTTTACTATTTGCATGTTGGAATATTGAGCCCCAATTGAGTAGAAGTTACCTTGAGCTCTATTTTATTTTATTTAATTATATATATTAGCTTCTTTCTTTACCTATGCAGTATAGCATATATGTGATTTTACATTATCAAGACTTGCACGTTTTGTAACTACTACACTATGTCCAGGGAAAAGTAAGCGTAACGGCAACAAGTGCTTGAACACCGTGATGTGAGTCTAGGTAGCTGATATCAACAAACATGGAGCTTATGCTATGAAGAGTACATTTTCTAAGTTCGCAGTCTGAATAATTTATATTTTATCTTTTAAAAGTTTTTGTAACAATTTGAATATTTATTTGGATTTAAAATACACATGGTAAGCAAGATTTATCAGATAGTTTTCATAATAAGGAAATTTGAATTATTTTGAACTTTAGAATTCAGAATCGTAGTTTAATTCCAGTAGAAACTGAGGAGCATTTCACATGTCAATCATAATATCATGTTATAGTCAATTTGATGTGATATTCATGTTGGTAGTCTTACATTTTTTCTGGTTTCGTTAGACCAAAATGCAAACAGACTTCTATATTGTTACAAGTCCAAGGCTCATGTTTGGTGGCATTGCAACAGGTCCTCTTCCTGATGATTTTTATGACAAGGAGGCATAATGAACCAGGCAAGAAACAAAAAGGTTTGTCAGGAGGGATTAGAACCTATTGTGTCTTTGCTTCTGACTAACCTTTTGCTTTCTAAACCCAGCTGCATGTTAGAATTCACTTGTAGCTGATTTTGATTATAAAAAATAGGGTTGTTAACTATTGAGTTAACAAGATAACTGTTTAGAGTTTGTCAAAGGCTATCTAGATCCTGCATTTGAGATTATGCACACATAGTAGCCTAGCATCGGAGACATTGCTTGTCGAGTTTGAGCAATGTTAAAGGGGCATGTGAAGCACAATGGTTCCATAATGGAGTTGTATCCATGTTTAAACCCATAATAGATGGACTTCAAAGTTCACCTATAGGCTATAGATGCTATACATTCATATGTCCTGTATATATGGGTGTTTTTGTTCTTCTAAAAGTGACTGGTAGTATTTTGATAGGCAATCTACACCGTTGACGTTGAGAGATTTGAAACATTTCCAAAAGCTCAAAGAGTGAGTCGGCCTTTTAAGTGTTCGGCCCATTTTAACACTCTTTATAAAAGTTTGGAATTTTTTATAAAAATTGATAGCAATAATTAAAAGACAAAAATAAATTAATTTGAATAATGAATTACATTAGCAATAATTATTCATAAAATATGTAGAAATAATTCTCACAAGAATTAATATTTAATTTTCAGGCCAAAAAAAATTGCCTTGAAGAAAGACGTAAAGAAAAGGAGGATGTGTGACGTTGGGAAGTTTTATTGAAATTTCATCTGACATAAAATGAAAATCTCAGACTCAAGCTCTCTTTGATTTTAATGTAGGAGGAGGAGTAGTAGTGGGTGATGATGATGATGCGGGAGAATATCAATAAAAAATTTAATAATAGTAAGATTCAGATTCAACAAATGGAAGAAGATGGGTAATGAAAGAATTACTTGGCTTCCCAAAAGTAAACATCAGTATGGCAAAGGGCTGTGAAAAGAATCTTGAGACACACTTCTCTAGCCTGTTGGCAGCACCACCTCTACCTCTTCAATCGACAGTGGCTTGCAGCTACATTTCAAAATTCCACACAAAACAATCAATACAGAATTGGGAAGAGAGAAGAAAGTTTATGTGTGAAGAAGATAAAGAAAGACAGAGGAGAGCAGATATTTAAGAGTGAAGGCTGACCTCTGCACTTGATAACTTGACCAGCCATGCTAGACATGGTAGTTTCTGAACATTGAGCATGAAAGACGACAATGGTAGTGAGAAATTGTTGATAGTTGTTGGGATATGGGGGAAAGCAGAGCCTGGCAAAAGCTATATATACTCGGGGAAGACATGCTCACTTGGCTGTCCATAGAGAACAACGAACTGAATTTGAGATTTGGTTTTTAGTTTAAAAGGTTTAAAAGGAAATAATACCACTGTGGTTTTACTGTATCGTCCAACAGGAGCTACAAGGAAATTTCAAAGTAGTTTCCTCAACGCTGGTTTCAACTCGAGGTTATGCTTTGTTATTTTTAGATCCTCTATCTTTTTAATACAAGCCTCTTTTCATCAAACAGATTTTTTAGTGTGGCATCTGGGAAAAATAATTAAAAAAATAAATACCACGGCCATGAGAAAACTAATTGCGTTGACCAATGGAAACTAGAAACACAGGTTTAGCCTTGGCGGTTTGGAAGAGTGTGAACTAAATGTCATCAAGGATTAATTATTAAGCTAATTTCTTTATTACATAAATTAAGCAAATAGTTAACATCACAAGCTCCTATAACAAGACATTATAAAGATGCTGTGCCAACACAAGAAGGCTTGCCATGGCTACTTTCTAGGAATAAAACTACGTCATATGCAAGTGGCTGTGTTTATCTGTTATATATCAACAGATAACGATTGACAATATTCTTCATTCTTATATCATCTATTCTAGAATTAATCGAATTTTTTTGAGTAAATTTGATTCATTAAACATTAAATATCTCTGTGTGTGTGTGCGTGTTATGATTTGATTCATTAAACATTAAATGTCTGTGTGTGTGTGTGAGAGAGAGAGAGAGAGAGAGAGAGACTTATCGGAAGCCATATGAATAATATTAACAATATATATCAACAGATAACTCATGGTCAGTGGTGTTGCATGAAGAATCCACAATAGCAAACAATGCCAGGAGAATCCAGAATCTACCGGAGAAGGAGTTTATATTCATAGCAGCCATAGCCCCTGTTTCTGAGAGATACAGTAAGATGGAGCAAATTCAGAAGCAAAGTCTTAATAGTGGTCTTATTATTTGATGGTTAAAGTGAAGGAAGTAGCAAACAAATGCGTCATGTTAGAGGGAGAAAGAGGGAGAAGGAGAAGTTAATGAAAGTTGGATTTACAGAGAATGGGGGTTTAATATCATCCTGTTTGCTAGTGCGGTGATTGAGATTTTTCCCATTTCTTTTTTTTGATAAGAAGATTTTTCCCATTTCTTCCCTAATAAGATTTCACCGAAATGCTATCATCAACTCTATCAAAGCTCAAAAATGACTTTACCTCCTCTAATTTTATGTTTTTGATTTTATAGCCTTCACTTGCTTTCCCTTGACATCTTCCAAAACAATGGGTTCGACAACATCGATGCTCTGGCACCGGCTTCGCGTAATTCTGCTCATCTCTCTGAACCCCAGAGGAACCAAATTTCTTAGACCTCTTGTTGATAGGACCGCCTTGAACCCCATATTTGTTTTTGCTGGCACAAGTCCTAAAGATCCACAGATCTCTGATTGCGCCTACATGGAAAATGCAAACTCCCTCTTTAGACCTGTTCGGGCACTCGATAACACCAAGAACTCGCCGAAATTCTTATCGTTCGCCATAAAAATTAATTGAATCATGGGAACCTGATAGAAGAGGAGTGGGAATTAAAACCTAAATCCTGAAAATAAATTGCATGCACCTCAGATTTGGTGATGTTAAGAGGGAAAGTGAGGATGCTTCATTAATCACTACGCCAACTCAAATAAAAGTAGGAATTGAACCCCAAATCCTAGATATAAATCACACTCCACCATGTTTTCAACACTCCTCAAGACAAGATTGTTCTTGAGACTCTGCTTCTCCCTCTTCTCCCTCCACTCATGCGCTCTCTCACTCCCATGGTTAGTCAAACGTTAGGAATGGGTTAGCCGCTTTTAATATTTCTAAAGCAACATTATTTATTCTTTTTAAAAGATGAGAATATCCATAATTTTTTTTAAAAAAATTTCAAAACATTTTTGCCTCCCATTCTCAACCAAAGAAAATTGAAATTGCCAAATAAACGTAATCAACCTATATGTAGCAAAATAAACTAAGGAGTAGCAATACAATTTTACCTTGCTAAACTAAATAACACGTTTAATAAGTCATAAATAATTTCTTTAATGAACTTTTTGATTTTTTTTTCTTGTCCTATTTACAAAATAGAGAGTATTTATTTTGATATTATTTATAAAAAACTTTACTAATTATTATGTTTATTTTTACCCTTTTGTTCTTATTAAATATTAAAAAATTTATTAAATATTAGAGTATTTTATTGTTAAAATATGTATATTTAATATGAGTAAAGTTAAAAACTTATTTAATTTTTAGATTGAATTAATGACATTGAATATATTTTTGATTTCAGTAAAAATACTAAAATTAATTTAGAAATAAAATAAGAGTAAGTGATTGCTATTATTGGACTGGATTTCTTTGTTTTATGAATATCTAGTGGATGAAAAGCTTCACTAGTTCTACTCCTTTTTAATATGGATGTTGAAATCTTAATTCTTGCTATTTAGGTGGATTCCTTGGTGATCCTATAGCCAACGTGCTTTCCAGCTGAACTAAAATAGTTAAGCCTCTGGCAAAATTTTTGAAGAAATAAGCTAAAAATATCAATTTAAATAATTATAAATTAAATAATTATTTAATTGTAAATAAGTATTTAAATATTAAATATAACTTTTAAATTGTAATAAAATTTTTATTCATAACTGTTTGAATTAATATTCATAACTTTTTTTAGAAAATTTTATCAGCACTTAATTATTATTAATTTAATTTTTTAAGATCTAACTATCATTCTCCTTACATATGCTTGTGTTTGGCTTGATTTTAGTAATGTAATTTAACAAAAAGGGATTTTTGTATCATTTGTAAAGTTGATTGAAAAAATTTAGTACTTTTTTAATCCAAACATTTTTTTTAAAGAACGCTTTTTCATGCCTATAACTCTAACTTGACCCAAAAAAGAAAAAGCATTTCTACATCATTTAATTCAAACTAAATATTTTCTTGTGCGTTGCCCAGATTGTAGTTAAAGAATTTAAAATAAATATTATTGATATCATTAATATCGACATATTTAAAATAATTAAATTTTTAGGAGTTTCTCTGTTCAATCATTTTTTTCTTCAATATTTTATTTATACACATCTTGTCTTTATTTTTCAAACTTATAATGAAAAACTTATTTAGAAAATGCCTATTCTTAGAGTGCTTAAAAAATATTGGCCCAAAAAAAAATTCTTTAGAATTCTCAATAATCCTTCATTTTCGATCATATAAAAAAAATTAGATATTAGTTTATGAATTATGATATAAATTATATTTCTATAAATATGGATATAAGAAAGAATCCAAAGGAATCCCTCTTTTTTTTTTTTTTAAATTGTATTCTATTCTTTTGTATTTTTTGGTTCCTATTCTTCTTTTTTTATGTGCAAAACAAAAAGGCTACTAAAAAAAATACATTTACCACTCAAGTTTTGCCTGTTTAGAGTACTTAAATAGTCATTGTGTTATCTTGTCAGCATTGAATGCATGGTGAAACGTGCATAATTTGAAACGCTAAGACTATGAGATAAGAATTGATGATCCAAATCAAACTTAAATTTCTTTTATTTCCTTTTTTTTCTTTTTACAGACAATATTTATGGATGATAGTTGATGAGAGTTGAATAATATTGAGTACAACAAATTAGAAAAATATATCAAAAATAGGAAAAGAAATTAAATCTCCTTTATCAAGAAAATTGAAAAGGCATGGAAAAGTACCTGAATGCATAAGGATAGTCAGATGGGTTAATGCTAACAATCAAGGAAATTTAAAAATGAGATTGCTCAAATTAATGCTCCTGTGAAAGTATACAAAAAATACATGAAAAATAAGAAAATAAATTAAATCTTATTGATAAGAAAAATTGACAAAGCATAGGAAAGTACAACGAATGGAGAATGATGGCCGGATAAAGTTAATGCTAATGATAAGGAAAATTTAAAAATAGAATTGCTCTTGAATCAATGCTCCTGTGAAAATAAACTAAAAACACATGAAAACTAGAAAAATAAATTAAATCTCATTAATGAATCAAAAAAAATTTTTCATATTAACATTAGCCTAAAATCTCTTAACCAATGAGACTTAATTTTTTTTTGAAAATGGGACTGCTCTTAAATCAATGTTCCATAAAAGGAGATTGAAAATACATGAAAAATAAAAAATAAATTAAATCTCATGGATAAGAAAAATTGAAAAGGCATGATAAGGTACAGTGAATGAAGAAGGATAGATTAATAGAGTTAATGCTAATGATTAGGAAAATTTGAAAATGCGGCTACTCTTGAATTAATTTTTTCGTGAAAGTAAACTGAAAATACATGAAAAATAAAAAAAATAAATTAAATTTCATTAATGAATCAAGAGAAATTTTTATATTAACATTCGTCTAAAATTTATTAACTAATGAGAATCATTTTTTTAACCAATCATATATATCTATATTGATGATGATGATAAGTTGAAAAAAATAATTTCTAACCAAATGTATAATAATTTCTAATCTTTCCAAAATCTCAATAAAATAAATAAATTATTGAAAAATATTTTTTTTAATTTTAAATAATTAGGCCTTTTATCTCTTTCATATTAGCTGTCACGAGAAAGAATTCTTATGTTTTGACCAATATAATTTGATTTTATTAACATTCAAAAAATATCGTTTTATCAAATTAAAATTTAACATATTTTAAGTAATTACTATCAACTTAAGCACTTAATATAGATATAACATTCTAAATTTTAATTTCTAGATTTAGTTAATCAATCAAGGGTAATTAGATAAAATTTAAGTGTTCATTAATTTGAAGACAGCTTGAGATGGCTGACGACCCTATTTAAATTTGAATACAATCGTAAGATTGGGCAGGGAAACGTATTGGGCCACTTAAGCCCAAATTGAAGGACATAGTGGGCTTTGACTCTCATCTACTCATGAACAAGATTTGTTCATGGGATGTTCGCACGTGGATAGAGAAAAATTTGGTAGAATTTGTCTTTTTAGTTCGTCCATGAGCAGACCACGCATGGATGAAGCATTGGGAAGGCATTTTAAATGTCAAAAAACATAGAAAAACTGAGAGAAAGTTAGAGAAGTCAAAAGGGAAGAAGGAGTTCCACTAGGGCAGGGGATTTTCAGCCATTGGAGGTGTGTTTAAGTTTGAAATTATAAGGTTGTCCTTATTAATCTACCATTAACTCTCAAATCATAAGTGATCATGACTAACTCAACTCAATTATCAAGTTTGTAAAATTTATAAGAATGGGATCCCAAATTTTTAAAACTCAAAACACACTAATATACTTTTATAAGCCAGAAATCAAAGTAAAACAAATTTATGAAAGCATGAGATACCTATTTGTGATAAAGCATTTGCAAAAAGGGTTGAAAAACATTATTTTAGCATAAAAGACAGAGGTGTGCCATAGCACGTTTGCCTTTGTACCATGTACTGTGGTATAGGCGCCATACGCTGTGGCACATTACACGAATTTAACAGCAATTTTGCTGTCATAAGAAAGCACTTGTGGTGAACTTCAAACATGGCTTGCTTCTTTGTTCAACTTTCGATTAGGGTAATCTGGGTGTTCACATAAAACCTTTTTCAAACTCTAGCTAATGGCTGGTCTCCTTTTCAAATTGTTTCTCAATCAAAAGAAGAACACCTATTATCAAACTCACTCTTTTTTTATATTAACATACAACTAGAGTGTCCAATATTCAATCTAAATGTTAAAAGCTTACATAAATCCTTAGACCATACTCAGTGGACCATAACAGACTCAAGCAACACACCACAACAACCAAACAATGCATATCTTACATTTTCACTACTTAATTCCTTAATCACAAAAATATAAAGGGGAGACAAATTCTCATAAATCATTACATAATTCATAATACTCATCAATTTCACATTTCTCTATTTGTACTAGTATTTGGCCCTATATAAACTTTGCAACCACATTATATACAACATAGGGTACAAAATACACATTCACATCAACTTCCCAAATTAGTGTAAGTAGTCAAAAATTATATGATAACCTAGTTGAAAAATTCTTAACAAAATACACATAATTAAAATTTCTATGTGAGACCTATAGTACAATTTCAGAAAATCCTATGCCTTGGGTTGTTTTCCCTAATTCTAATCTGATGATCTAGATATTGAAAGCGATAAGGACAACCATTTAGTAATTAAGGTTAATCCAGCCTATACAAATGCTTGTTAATCAATTATAAAAATGCAATGACAATTACACTATCACAAATTTATGTGCTTTTCAAAAGGTTGCCACAACTATAATATTAACAACCATGTGGTCGGTCACAAGCATATATCAATTCACATCAATGAATAACATCAAAACACATATGGGTCTACAATACTAACAACCATTTATCCCTGTTAAATTATGTCAGACCACAATAATAACAACTATATAACTGGAATATGAAATGCATAATTAATGTCATCCTTATACCCTCTTAATATCTTCAATATGAAACCAATGGCTATTTAATGGACTACGTCCATAAGCTCGGACTACTTAAATCTTTCACTTGTGATGAGCTGCCCAAAAAAGGCTATTAGATTCACCTGTGAGACACAGTTTCTCCTAATACTAACAAATATGGGGTATTGTACATCTACTCTAGCCTCTTTATAAATCAGTGGAGACTAATTAAATTCATATTCCTCAAAAAACAAGTGGGATAGTCCCTTTACAACAATAAGATTGGCTACCTCCTGATTTCAATGATAAGCTGTCAA